GCGCGCGAGGGCGCGCATGTCCCATAAACAACTGTGTGTTGTACTGAGTGAAATGACTGAAAAGGAACAGAGAACTTCATCCTATTTCTAAAGAAATTCTTATGTTTCACAAATATTGCTACCAAACACAACTAGACTACCGTATTTATTCATGTATAATACAATCTCGAGTATAATATGATCATCATTTTTGAGCTTAAAAAGCATAAAATGTCTAATCACCAATAACCCGTGTATAATATTACCCCCCTAGTTTATGGATGATTTTTTAGGGTTAAATTTCTAGTATTATACATGAATAAATACAGTAATATTTTCAGCTCACTCCCAGAAATACTGCAAAAGACAGTTCTTATTTAAACCTAGAGGTTGAAGTGGAAAAAAAGCATATAATGCTGGGTGATGTTGGTAATTATTAAATGATTGCAAATAGGTGAAATAAAAAAAAACATTTAAAATATGTGGATCTTGAATTAATTAAGATTCACCAAAAAAGAAAAATTCTCAAAACCTTCTATATAAAAAAACAAATAAAAATACCCGGACAAATATTGTTCAGTAATGTTAAATGTGAGTTTGTTTAAACTTGTGTCTTTTTAAAGTGAAAAGACAAATTGTGTAACACTTTCAGAAAGCTGTGATCTAGTGTTTTAATGCGAGCCCGGACCTCAGAGTTCTGGCCGTTCGCGTAGAGATGAGGTAGTTTTTGGAGCGTCTCTGCTGACACGTCTTTGTCCAGAGTGCCAGTGATGAGTTGAGGGAAAGCAGAGAACATCAGGTTGAAGAAGATGAGATACCACTGGTCGATCATGGCTGAGCCAGAGAAGCCACAGTAGAACTGATACCAGAAGATGAGCGCTACAAACATCTGTGGGAACAAAACAGATGGACAGAACTGATAAGAGGGGACAAAGAGCTCGTCTGAGACGATCTGTGGATAAAAGTGTCTTACGGCATTCTTGTAGAAGAAGTATAGGATCATATTTGCCAGTCGAGAGTAGCACCAGTGTCCGTGAACCAGCAGGAGCTTCTGGAGATACCGGAAACGAGGGAGGGCAAAGTCGCTCGCCATCACCGCCTGCAAAACAAAACACCAGAGGCGCCTGACAWTCAATCTCTTTTCTTCATCACCCCTCCTCATCCTCCCACCCTCAACATTAGGAAATAACAGTTGGAAATGTCTGGCCCTGATCCACCCACTGCGTCTTTTTAATCAATCTGTAATGTGGGGTACTCTTTCCAAAGCAATAACCCTTAAATGAGTTGCCCACCCTCTGGGATTCCCCTCCGGAGCAGCAGAAGCACRTCAGTCCCATCCATCAACATCTAAAACTCTCCCTGCAGACGGTCCTGCAGCGCCACTTGCATCTTTAAAGGACGCTGCTAACCCTTTAGGACACTCCTYGACTGTCCACATCCACCAACAAGAGAAACAACAGCCGACGCCTCCCTCAGCTTCAGCTGCGCTTTCATAAACTGCCTTTAATGACTGTGTGGGGAGTAGTTCCTCAAACAATAAGCCTGAATGGAGAAATGTGTGTCAGAGTATAAGATTTCCTAAATTTATGGCCGTCTGAACAAGAGCAATTTGTAAACAGCAGTTGAAGCGAGGATGCAGAAGAAACACCGAAGCATCAGCAGACAGTTCATTGGGAATCTCCATCATCTCTGAGTTCCCTCCTCTGGAGTYGGCTGTTGAGAGTGGAATGAGACGAGGAAGGACAAGAAACACGGCAAACATGTCAAATTTTACCAAGTATTTTTTCTACCATATTTATGTGTGTATAATGCACTTAAGAGTCTGATGCAACCTCCATTTTAAGAGCTTRAAAAATCTAATCCTCGTGTATAATGTTACCCTTTATTTCATACAGACTTCAGGATTTTTCAGTCCTCTTGCAGCCAACCCTCTGGTGGGGAAACATTGCTTTGGGGACACACAAAAATTGAGTAGGTCCTCTGGACAGGTTCTTCTTTAATGAAATGTTTCATCTCTCCTCCCAAGAGTCTTCTTCAGTCWGACTGAAGAAGACTTAATTTTTGTTTAATCTGTGTTATTACGTTTGTTGGTTAAATATAACAACAGGTTGGAGAAATCTTAGAATGTTTAATGCTAGTCAGCAATGCTTACTGAAAGATAATTTTCTTAAAATATAATTTTCCAATCTTGTTTTAAGTAGGACCTTTGCCACAATTATGGAACTAAAAAAAGTTAAATTAATTTTCAAACTAGAGGATGACAAGCAGGGTAAAAAAAGATAGTACCTTAGAGAGGAAGGATACCACTTTGGAGCATCACAATTATGAGACAGAAAAGCTCACAATTATAGTAAAATACATTAAATCAATGGTGGACACGGCCTCTTATGAGGCCATGCTGGGAAATTTAAAGGGAAATAAGGATAATGACTGGAACAGTTTCTGAGACTCTTTGAAAAGTTCGTGTTCATGAGTTGGTTGTTGATTTTTGAATTTTGTGTATTTTTCATTTATTTACTAATTTGGGGAGTGTTTCTTGATGTTTTCTGAAGTTTTGATGACTGTATGTTTTTGAACTAGTGTTGAGGAGTGTGTTTTGCCCTAGGGGTGGGGGTGGGAGTGCACCAGTCTTTTTGTTTTCTCTTGTTTAGATTATGTCATGTTATATGTTAAAAAAAACTATATTTAAAATTTCAATAAAATTTAAATTATAAAAAACAATTATAGTAAAATACTGCTCAGAAAGAGTTTTCACTGCTACGTTCAAGATTTTTTATCTTCTGAGGCTTCAATTCAATTCAATTCAATTCAATTCAATTCAATTCAATTCAATTCAATTCAGTTTATTTATATAGCGCCAAGTCACAACATACGTTGTCTCAGGGCACTGTACATGAAAAAGAACAATCTAAAGAAGAAGCCAGCAGACCGCGTTGAATCACTTCATCACAGTCTCCCATCCCATCATGAATAAAATGTTATATTTATAGACGTCTTCTCAAGTTCATCTTCAATTGTTCCATTGGCAGATTGTTATTATTATTATTATTATTATTGTTATTATTATTATTTTTTTTGCTTATTTCAAGCCAAAATTTGAAATTTTTGTAACTTACTTTTGTAATGACTTCTTTCTGGTGAAAAGGTTTGTTACATATATCAAAGACAAAACTGTGGCTGTGACCKCTGAGCAGAAAGACGGTGTAGATAATGCGGAAACTGAAACATTCACAAACTCTGCAGTTTTCTGCAGGACAAAGAACTCAATTTCCTGAGTCAGCATGACAAAAACTCACGTTCAGAAGTAACGAAAAGCCATTACGTGTTTTTGATTCAGTCTTTTCTTTTATCCATATCTTCTTTTATAATAGAAAGTCTTTGTTCCTGCTTAAAACATCAAACATCATGTTGCATTTTCAAATTCAATAAAAATCACAGTTCTCACCTGCATGCCCTCTTGTCCTGAGATCCCCACGCCCACGTCTGCTACCTGGATCATGCTGACATCGTTAGCCCCATCACCTGTGATTAATGTGATTGGAGAGATGCAGGAAACAAGAGGAGAGGAGGGATCAGCCWAAAGCCTGCAGGCGGTAAACAGTTACATCAGCGAGTGAGATGATGCTGAGACCCTCAAACTTTTACAGATTTAGGAGATTTTTGTTCTGTTAATGATAGAAGTGATTGTGTGTTTACTATCTGGTGCTGGTTAACCCTTTGTCCTTAGTGTATGTGTTTAAGATTCAGAGCCAGGATTGCTGTGGTCACAACCATTTGAGATTTTCCTCCACTTGGAGAAAAATTTGTGTTTTGTTTGCGTTGGCGTGGTAGAAGTGCTGGTGGGCAGGAGGAGAGTTCCAGTTGGATATCTGAGGTACGTGGTGATGAGGACTCAGATACATATTAATATGAGCTGCTGGAGATTGTCTGTGTGACTAAATTTATTCAAGTAGAAACTGCAGCAGAATGTTTGCTGCTTCAGAAAGTCCTCAAAGCCTTCTGCAAGCAATCTAGTCCTAGACGACACATTTCATTCACAACTTGGATAATGGGACATTTAAATGGTTCTTATCTTTTTGTCTGTAAACACCACAATGGATTTGAAATGAAATGAAAAAGTTGTGGTTTAACTGCAGACTATCAGCTTTAATTTAAAGTTTTTACATCCAGATCAGGTRAACGGCAGGGTTTCCTGCAGTGCATTATTAGCCTGGCGGGCCACCAGGCTTTACATGCCTCCCCGCCAGGTTAGGCTTCGTTTGTTTACTCAGAGCGGACGTCGACCCGTGGAGCATGTGCTAAGTTAGTAAAGCTAAAAAGCTATCGTAATGACTCAGCGTGCAAAAAATAAGTCATAGTCATCTAAAAACTCTTTAGAGTTCAATAATATGTTAAAAAAGGGGCAGCTGCAACTCGCTGGACCCACAGAAAAACACTCCTCCGTCCTCTCTCTAGCCATTTACGCACTGCATGGCCCAGCCTGGCCTGGCCCTCCCCAGCTTCCAACCCGGGTTTGGTGTTTTTGCATGTCTGCTTTAGGGCCGGCTCCAGCCCGACTTCTGGAACCTGGCCAGGCGAGGTTCCAATCGGGCTGGCCTGGTTTGACATCATGTACTGCTGATCATGATTGGTTTGTTTGCAGCGGGGGCAGGAGAGCATGGCAAATCAGCAAAGCAACAGCGTTCCACTGCCATTTTATTGTTTTGCTCCCAAGCTCCCGCTGCGTGGTCGAACAAAGAGGWAAGTTTTTGTTTACTTTCTTACGGATGAGCATGTCCAGAAGGAGCTCGATAGCAGCACGCACAATGAGAAAGTTTGTAAGCGTGCGTCACACCCACTTCGAGGCGGCTCTCAGCACAGTGCGAAAAAAGCAGGGCAGGGCTGGTGTAGAGCCAGGCTGGGTCGGGCCGGGCCGTGCAGTGCGTAAGCAGCTTCTGTCCCAGCCGGCTGCAGGCAGCGGGGCTCTCCTCTCTCCACTCACACAGGTAGCCCCTCCCTCCCCTCACCTGAACATTAACTCTTTAGGGCACAGATATTATAGCTTTACCTCTCAGAGCAGCAAAACCCATTATTTTCAGTGATTGATGAAAAGTCTCTTCTTATAAGTTTTTTTATTACATTACTGATATTTTACAAAGATTGGAGTTCTTCTGAGGTTTTACAAAGATAATTATTAAGTGCAAAGAGGATGTGATTTGAAGATTTTATAGTTTATAGT